AGAAGCCAGTTAATTGAACTATGGGAGGAAGCCGGAGTACCCTGAGAGAACCCATGGAGAACATGCATTTAGAAGGACCCCGAGCTGGGCTAGCCACTGCGCCGCTGAGCAGCCTCTCAGTTAGATAATATGCACTTGAAATAGGACAATGAAACTGTTTTTTTCTTGTTTCAAATCTAAATTGTTCTTCCATTGGCAAAGTGCCTCACTTTCCTCCTCAATTAAAAAAAAAATGAATAATTCAGATTTCTGGTTTTTGTAGTGTAGAAAAAATTTTATGAATTAGAATCGATTAAAATAGGAAATGGGCATCAGAGAGCTGAAAATAAAAAAGCAAATGCACCTTTGCAAAGGCAGCTCTTGATTAGAGCATCATAAAATGTATGATTTAAATAGAGATTTGTGTGGGGCCAAGCATGTGGTTAGAGTAAGGCCACTCGTGTGTCATTGCAAAAAAAAAAAAAAATCTGAAAAAAGAAAATCTGAAAGCCAGAAGTGAAAGTAAAAAAAAAACTTCTTAATCAAAAAAGTTTGGGGAGACTCTTCTGTTTCATTAGATTTTTTCTTTTTTCATATTTTTCCCCATTTTCTCATTTACTTAATGTTTTTCTTTTTCAGACGCTGATTTATAAATTGCATTATTTTATAATTGCGTTTTACAGCTTATTTTCTCTTCACTTCAAGCCCAATGAAAAAATCCTGTCGCATTCATGTTCAGTCAGAGGGATTCCTGAAGATTCAACCAATCAATGGCAGCAGGGATCGTCGCCGTAAGCTCATCCAGGAGCAGCATGTCTTATAGGTCAATGATTGGAAGCATCAGCTGGTTTTCCAAACCACTCTGACTGTATTTTCTCTGTAAAGTGCCTGGAGATGACACCTGTCGTGAATTACATGGAATACACTGAATGGAAATTGACTTGAATTTAATCTATAAATTAAATTAGAAAAGAAGGCAATTTGTTAAACTTAATCTGAAATACAGAAATTGAAAAATAAAATAAAAAAAATATGAAATATTTATATATGAAATGAAATATATATAAAAAACTGAGAAAAGTCACTCTAAAAATATTTTCTTGGTCAGGAGGTTTTTGAAAGTTTTAATATTTTTAAGTTTCCATCACAAAATGTGTTTTTTCCTTGCAAGAATAATGGAATAAAATTCACTCCATAGGTTTACAGTCTGGTCCCCATGAGGAAAGCTTCTGTTCTTAGATTTAGGACTATGGCGTGGATGAGTTTAGATTAGTTTAGGATTAGGGATGTGTTGCTAATTGGTAGAGTGAAGGTCTGGGTTATCCCCATAGAAATGAATGGAAGTCAATGGAAAGTCCCCATAAGGATAGCAGGACATCGAATGTGTGTGTTTGGGTACTGGTGTGCAGTCAACGTACTTTCTCTGTGATGTCGAGGTCACAGGAGTCAATGCTGTCTGTGAACAAATCCTCTGTGCTGCTTCCCCGACTGGAGCCAAAAACACCGAGGTTGGCCTGGAACAGCTGGCTGCAGGGGGGGGGCAGCAAAACCAGGAAGATGATTACGCCTCAGACGACAGGGACGCACGCCGTGGCGTACATAAGCTTTGTTCTCTTCTTCAACAAAACACGACTGACATCTGCTAGTAAAAAGCGCCATTAGATGATCATTTACTCACCGTCCAAACGCTGTGCTGGAAATCTTCCTATTAGGGCTGAAACACAGGATGGAAAAACGGTTCAAACTTTTTTATTCAGCTGGTTTCCAACAGAAAATATTGCTGCTCTAAAAACAGCCTTTTGTTTTATATTCAGTCTACTTCTTAGTTAACCTACTCTAACAACTGCAATGACTCATACATGTAAAAGTCTCTGCCGCTCATCCCACCCGGTCTGGCTGTAGTTGCCATAGAAACAATTCAACCTTTTTATCTGGTTGCACTGTTTGGTGCCAAAATGAATCAGCTGGATTTGATTTAATGTCTGCACATTTATGGAGTGAATTTTGTGTCATTATTGTTGCAAGCAAATTGAAAACATTTTAATATAAAAAAAAAATTTCTCAAATTCTCAATTTTTTTCAATTTTTCATATTTTATTTTTATTTTCCTTAGAATTTAATTTGTTCACATTTCTCTTTCAGATTGAGTTTTACACATTTAATTCCTCTTAATTTGCATGTTCCAGCTTTTCTCTGGTTTTCTCTGGAGTGACGAGTAAAGTCGTATTTCTATTGGTCTGTTGGACGTTAGCAAAAACATTTTTATTAATCAATGTGTGCGTTAAAAGAGGCTTAGAGTAAAGAGAATGCCATCTGTGAAACATGTTTTAAAAACAATGCAATTTAGAAAACTCAATCTGAAACGAAATATTTGAAAAAAATTTAATTTAAAAATACAAAATCAGTACTAAAAATAAATTTTAAAGAAATAAAATATAAGAAAATTTGCAAAGTTACTCTTCAACCTTTTTTTTTAAATGAAAGGTTTCTCTTTGCATTTATTTTAACATTTCCATTTACAAAATATATTCTGTCCTCGGTACAATCATGGAACAAAATTCACTCCATAGCTCCTCTAACAGCTATTCTGAGCTTTGTTGTGACGCTAATAAGCCAGCAGCCATGCTGTGAGTGTGATGCACTAATATGCACCGTCCTACCTGTTTGCTTTGAGGTTTCTCAGGCGAGCCTCAAGGTCATTGAGGAGATTGACTTTCTTGCAGCACTGAGAGCAGTAGATGTCCAGCAGGTCACTGTTGTACAGCTGCTGCATCTTCTGAGGAGTGTGGCCACCGCTGCATTTAAAACAGGACAAGATGGAACCAATAACCAGACAGAAACATCACAAACCAAATGGATAAATTCAATAGAACAATAATAAATAGCAGACTGAAGGCAACCAAGCAGGAGGAGGTTCTAGATCACCTTTGTTTTTTACAAAGTCTGGACAATAGAACATTTTAACAGACGATCTGGTGGTGAAAAGATTTACGATGCACAAAAAAGTGACAGTGGAGAGGAAAAACTCCCTTTGAACAGAAAGAAACCTCCAGCAGAACCAGACTCAGTGTGAGCGGCCATCTGCCGAGGCCGACTGGGGTTCAAGGAGACAGAAGCAGACATAGAAAAAGGAGCATAGATACAAAAGGCAACTGTCAACCAGCTCCACAGGCGATCCTAACACTGATCCCTGTGGTACAGCCACGTTCAGTGTTCATGAAACGCTGAGGGATACAGTTAACCTGGAAAAACGATTCTAAAAATAAGTTAAAATGTCATAAATTAGGTGTATTTCCCCTAATTTGAGTAGGTAAATTAGATAGTTTGCCAATGGAATGAGTTTTTTTATTCTTAAAATAAGATAATTAGATAACATGAACTTGAAATAAAACAATACAATTGTGTTTTTCTTATTCAAAGTGTAAATTGTCTTGTTCCATTGGCAAAATGTCTCTTTTAGCTCCTCAATCAAAAAACAAATGCATTATTTT